GTAAAGACAGCAGGTTTGGACTGGCTGTCAAGAGTTTGGACATGTTAAAAGGTGAGAGTGTTATCTAAGTGAAGATAGCAAGTTTGGTACTGGATTCTGGGATTCAGAAGACAGGTGTTTCTTTGTTAAAATTCCTCAATGGCTTCCCATTGCTTACAGATAAATTCTAAATTCCTAGCACCACATTCAAGATTTTTCATCTGATCCCAGCCTACCTTTCAAAGTCTTGTCTCACACTATTACCTTACACAGACCAAACCAAACAGGCTTTATTATTTACAGACTGTTCTAGACTTTTTCCATCTTGATGCCTTTGCCTATGGTATTCTTTATGCCTGGAATGCCTGTCATCTTAACTCTGCCTGCTGAAATACTATCCAGTCTTCATGACTTTATACATAAGAGTGGAGAGAGAAATGTGGGCCATGGAAAGGAAACTTTTTATGTTCAGTTGATGACATTTAGTGAGCAGACCCTCCCAGTTCTTCTTCTGTGTGCTCATTTTAACCTGTGGTACAGTGTGCCTTCTCTTTGTGACTGTTGGAGGGGAAAGTTCATTTTTATTTTCTTTATTTTCAGATGGGAACATTTAAAGCACATGATGGCGAATATTTCTTAGAACCCATAATGAAGGCAGATGGGAGCGAGGGGAAAGTTCATTTTTATTTTCTTTATTTTCAGATGGGAACATTTAAAGCACATGATGGTGAATATTTCTTAGAACCCATAATGAAGGCAGATGGGAGCGAACATGAAGATGATCACAACAAGCCACATCTTATATACAGACAGGAATTAAAGAGGAACTCCTTTCAGCAATCTTACAAGCCTTGTGAAGTTTCAGGTAAACTATGAAGTAAACTCTTTTCAGTTAAATTGTGGTGATACTATTTAAATTTTTCATGGGTCAGAATTTACTTCTTTTCTTTCAGTATTTATTTTTAATTAATTTGTTTTTTAGTTGACAAATAAAAATTGTATATATTTATCATGTACAACATGTTGTTTTGAAATATGTATACATTGTGGAATGGCTAAATTGAACTAATTAACATGTACATTACTTAATATGCTGATCTTTTTTTCGTGGTGAGAACACCTAAAATCTACTCAGCGATTTTCAAGAATACCATACTTTGTTATTAACTGTAGTCACCATGTGGTACAGTTAGTCTCTTGAACTTATTTCCCCTGTCTAAATGAAAATTTGTATTCTTTGACCAATATCTTCCCAACTCTCACCCAGCCCCGGCCCTTGGTAAGCACCATTCTGCTCGTTACTTCTATGAGTTCAACTTTTTTAGATTCCACATATAAATGAGATCGTGTAATATTTCTTAAATATTGAAGTATATGATATTTTATACAATTATTTGACCTGTAAGGATCCATTAGACATTATCTGTCTGTAGGTAACTTTGTTGTAGTAAACTAAATTTAAATCCAAAAAGGTATTTAATACATGAGATTTGTAGCAAATAATCGTAGAAAATTTTTACTTCAGTCTGTTAGTCACAGTAGTATTATTTTTCTGAGCAGAATTTTAGACTGAACCTAAGTAACAATAACACATTGCTCAATTTTGTGTAGTTTTAATTTTATATAAATGGAAATATTGTATCCAGTTTTCTGTGACTTACCCTTTTTTGCTCAGCATTGTTTTGGAGGTTCATCTGTTTTAGGGCATGTAACTGCAATTCATTCATTTTCATTGCTATGCAGTATTTCATTGCCTGAGTATATCACAGTTCATATATACATTTTCCTGACGACCTTTTGTTTGCAGTTTTTCTCTATTATACACAATGCTGCTGTGAATATTCTTGTTCCCATTTCCTGTGTTTGAGAGTTTTTCCAGAGTATACACATAGATGCTAGCTAATTTCACATTGTTTTACAAAGTGGGCTTTTTAAATTAATTTTACAGTTCCAGCAATATATGAGAGAGTGTATTTTCAACATTTTTAAAAATAAAATTCAGACTACTGTAGGTTTATAATAGATTTGAAGCTAGGAATCATAGATACAAAGTATAAATGTATTGCTAGTAGAATACTTTGAATTGTTTAAAAGTTGTATTAAGATTTGTGTCACATTATATATGTACATGTGTCTTCACTATTTATAAAATAACATACAATGATATGGTAGAGAAAAGGCACCTGCAGTTATCATCAAAGTACAAAATCTAGACAAAAGAGTGGGATTAGAAAGGATTTACTTGAGATCGTAGGTGTCCATAAAATATAGTTCCAAACACTGCGATGCCATCTGTTTGGGGCTATAATGATATGTAGGCCTTTGAAGGTTTTCCCTGGGAATGCACTTCTTAACCTTTGCTATTATAGGAGTGCCATTTTGGAGTGGTTCTCACTGTGTCTAAGGCCGTGTTTTAAATCTATTGACATAATAGATGCCTTTCTTATGCTTTTAATATGAGCATAAGGGTTTCATTTTTATGGCTTCAAAGAAAACACAAATGGGTACAGCTTCACAATAGAATTCTACAGAAGGCAGCTTATGCTTGTTCTGATCTACCATTCAGGAGCAGCTTGTTTAATGAACTGTTTAGCTTCTTAAGAAGAAAACCACCAAGTAGACATTCTGAATGCATAAATGTTTCACATAATGATATGCAGGGTTTTGCATTCACAATCAGTGTCCATTATCAGCAGGAAAATGGTTCAAGAAAAGCCAGGCTCTTTTGTTTAAAAATTTTTTATACCAGAGATTTATTTTAAAAACAAAAAGCAAGTGGAAATCTATGGGATTTAATTTTCTTTAAATCACAACATACTTTTTTTCTAAAACATTTATCTACTAAAATGTAAGAGGTAGTATCCATTCTTTTCAATTCTTAAATTACCTCCAATTTTAGGTATAATTAACATACACATTTTTAATCATTAATAAAGACAATTAATGGCCTAAAAATTAGCTAATTATCATCATTTTGTTAATAAAAGTGGAGAGTTGTGAATGTAGTTAATGAAATGTTATTTAAGGCTTTTTTCCTCCCCAATTCACATCTATTTTCAGGAATAATTGCAGGAACTTTATATATTCTACTGAGTGAACCTTCAGGAGAATCCTTCAAATAGGTGGGCCTACAAATTTAGCTCATGTACCAAAATGATTAAATGGAAAAGGAAAAGTGACTTATTTTTTTATATGGTGTTTCTGTTGATGGTTTTAATTCATTATGACCCTATCTTGTTATGGTTCATAGTGGCTTCAGCCTGGATGAATTAGATTATATTGTTTCCAAGATCAGAGTTCACCATGTGCCTTGAGGCCATACAAAGTACATTTGGTAGCCAAACCTAGCCATTGTGGATGCCAGGCTGTCAGGTAGATATCAGATATATTCTAAGTAAAATCCAGGGGAAATGGCAAAGCAGGCAAACAAAAAAATCCGCAAAATGAACAAACACCAAACAAAAATGCCACAACCACCACCAAAACAAAGCTGAACAAAATATAAAACCCAAGGGGAGGGAAACCCTGAAATGACTGACAGGAATGAAAAAAAGTCTGAATTCTGTTAAGTGTAGCTTATGCTCCGAGGTCAGATCATTGCTGGTCTGCTTTGCTCAGGACACCTGGTGAGCCTTGCTGCATTTCTTCCATCTCCCCCGCTACTCCTCATCTCAGTGTCATTGGGTAGGAGCATTTGTAGACAATAAAACAGAGGACTGGGTGCAAGTGAAAATGAAGTGTCTTTAAACGGGGCTTAACATGATGTGGCCAGCTTTAAATTTCTGTGCTTTCCCTAAGTTTTTCTAAATTTATTTATTCCTGTAGTCTTTGAGTCCCTAATGTTACAAAATCTATAAAAATTGGTTAGAACAGGGCTGTTGACAAGGAGGAATGTAGCATTTGCATCTTCAGAGTCCTGATGTGTGTGACGGAGAAGAACCCATTTACTATTTCAGGATAATAAGGTGCCAGGGGTGTGGGAGGTCTGGGAGGCTGGCAAGGCACCCAGAGGCCAGATCTGAAACGGCTCTCCCATTGACATTGCAGAAACAACTTTTAAAACAGAGACATCATAAGATCTGCTTTTTTAAAAGAAAAAAATGTGTTCCTCTATTACTCATTTGGCATGGTAGCTTTCTTTTCTCAGATGATTTTGGATTTGCGTGAGAAGAGACTGAAGGCAGGGAGACAAAGTAAAAAGCTATCTTGTCAACAAAGGATTTAAGTGTTAAACAAGTAAAGTGCACATAAAGATGTAAATTGAAGATAATTTCATTAAAGCATTTTTCTCAACTCTAATGAGCTGTTGAAGTTTTGTTTTGTTTTGTTTTTTGTGAGTAGTCTATATGGATAATATTTTCTGTGAATGCATGAGAAGTGCCTTTTTAATAAAATTATATTTATTCACAGATTATTTTCCTTTCCTTTAAAGATAATTTAATCAGCATCTGTCTGGGGGAAATCCTTATGTTTTAGTGTCTGTAGAGGCCATAGTTCACTTTGTACGTGGGAGTCAGGGAACAGAGTTTTGGTTCTGTCGCTGCTACTAACTGGCTTTGTGACTTAAACCTCTCTGGGTCTTAGGCAGAGTATGTAATGAATAGCCAATGAAGTTAACTTGTTTCCTTTTTAAATGAGTGTCAAGTTTAAGGCGTTCTAACTTAGAGCTCTTACATTACAGGGAATGAGTAAAGAGAGGTGTCATTAGCATACAGAGGTGTCCATAGGGTGCTGGAATACACATGCTTCTTACAAAAGGTGTTATGGAAACATGGGACCAGCATTGCCAGATTTTTGTATTTTAGAGAGAAGTTGAAAAAAATCTAAATTTTTTTAAGTGGAAAAAAAAAAAGAAATAGGAGAATTGAATTGGATGTATTAGCCACTAGTTTGCAATCTCTTACTTGATTTTTGAAGTCCCTGCCATTTATAACATTTCATAAATTTATGGGCAGAGAAGAAGGTGCCGTTAATTAATCTAGGAACTGGGGATCATAAATATTTTGAACTAGTAGCGCGTTAATGGTGTTTTCAAGAACAAGCTCAACCTTCTAAATATGTACAGAGATGACTGTAGAGATTTTATTCTGCCCACCCTTTTACTGATAGTCTCCTATGATCACTTATGACCTTCTCCTTTCCAAAAGCAATATTCTCTCTCAGTCTTATTGTTTTGGAGGAACATTTCACACTATTGATCAACTTCTCCTAACTGAATTTTCCTCTTTCTTTGGCTTCTCTGATAAACTTTGCTTTCAACTTTGTTTCTTTTTCTCATCATTTCTCCCCTTTCTCTTCCTGGTTATTACTGTTTTCCCATCTTCTAAGTTACACACTTTTAAAAAATATATTTTTTTCTTATTATTAGCATATTCATTATTACAAATCATGATTTTTCTTTATACCCTTGCTCTTCATAGCCACCATTTTAGATCATTTTCATATAGCGTATGTGATTTTTTTCTAATTTTAATTACTAATTTAAATGATACATAATTTTAAAAAATATTTTAAGTTCATCTCCTATTTTAAGACTAAATCTCAGGTCTACAAATCGCTTGATACTTATGTTTTCTTGACTGTCCCAGTGGCAACCTTGAGTCAACACAACTAAATCTGAAGCCACTGTCTCTCCCGCACTTTCGTCTTCACCCACATCCTCCAAAAGATGCCCCTTTTCTTTTGATGCCCAAATTTTGTTTAAATCAAGCATGTGCTGTAACAGAAACTTAAAAGGTGTTAATTTTTCAAAAAAGTCCATTTCTACTAACTAGAAAATATTGATATATATTTGAATAACAAACTATTTGCCTCAACCATTCAGGTCACCCTAGCTTTGTTTGCTCTCTATTCTACAGTGCGTGA